TGCGCTTTATCAGTGCCTTATCGTCTCTCGTTTTAACCTTACCTTGACTACACAACGATCTCGCGACCTGCAAAAAGAACGAACGCAGGGGCCAGTTAGTCTCATTCCGCCAGCGACGCGCTCGGTGCGGTGGTTAAAAACGACCCGATTTTCAGTCAGAAAAACGAGCGATTAATCTTATGAAATGCGGCGACCTTGCGGCGGGGATAAAAATAGTCGTACCCGTCAGGGGAGAACGCGACAGAGCGAGGGGGCGAGAGAAAAAAGGGGGGCGGGGAGGGAGGAGACCCCGTTGTCAATCGGGATCGCGTTATCCAGGTGCTCGACGACCGATTCACCGCGGCGAGATCTGATTGACACGCGACGGTGAATCACGAGGACATTATCGCGACGCGAGACGCGCGCGTATTATGTAACCGTCGCCGCGGCGAGGGAGACCCGGGCGAGTCCCCGCCGCCGCGGCGACGGCGAGCACCGGGTCCCTCGGGGGCCGACCGAGGGGCATCGCCCGCCGCCGCGTGGACGGGCGCGGGCGAGGGAGAAAGGACGAGGTGGTGCGGAAGGAAGCGTGAGAACTCACCTCGGCCCGCAACACGCCGCTCCGCGCGATCACGCGGGGCGCGAACCGCGAGCAGTTGGACAACATCGCGGCCATCCCTCCAATGCAGGCGAAACGTACGCGCGCACGCACTCACTCGTCTCGCTCGCTCGCTCGCTCGGACGTCCGCACGCGAACGGCGGACAGCTTCTCGCGGCGGCGACGAGAAGCGGGACGGGATCGGGACGTCGAAGCGGGAGGCCCATGGTGGGGGAGGCCGGAGTGGCTCTCGCTCTCGGAGCGGACGTGCGGCGGCATCTGTCAGAGGCGGACCGCATTAGCACCACTTTACCCTCGCGCGCTCGGTCTATGAATTCTGGTTCCCAAAGATTTTCAGTGGATTCCCGAGCATCCCCGACTTTCCGGGACTCCACCGCGCTTTCTACAACGTGAAGTATGGGTGGAACGTGCTCTTGGACGCTTTGGAAAAGAGAAGAGTCGCGCGAGACAGTACAACTCTCTAATGTCCATTTCTAATAACGCGGATTTAATTCGAAGAATAAAGCCTTGCGTCCACGATCCAAGAGCCGTGTCAAAGTTCTAGTTTTGAAAAATGTGTAGCCAATCAACTTGCAGCTTTTTCATAAAAGATACACGTTGACTGGTTACACATTTCTTGGAACTAGAACCTGGACACAGGCCTTAAGAGCTGTGACGGGGTGTTAAGGTCTAAATATTTCATGTTATTAAATTTATTGCGAAAAATACTACCTCAGCTAGGATAAGGTGATAGTTTTCGCATTAAATTTAATAACATGAAATATTTAGGCATTAATACCCCGTCACGGCTCTCAGTCCTTTATTCCTTCAAACGTTTATCACATTTGAACCATACGAATTTTATAAGTAAAGTTTAAACTCGGATTAAAGTTAATCTGCATCGGTAGAAACGGGTATTAGACCTAGAAAGAGATGAAGAGCAAGTTAAAACGCGATCAGTTAATCTACATTGGTAGAAAGGGACATTAGATAAAATGCAAATTAAACTGACAATGAGATTGAAGCTAAGTACTGCATTGGTAGAAACGGAAGCCACCGCTGCAAAATTTCACGTGAAATTCGATACACGCACATTAGATTGAGAGAGTTTCACATAACTTTAATCCGTTGAACGATATAACAGTATTCAATATATAAAAATCTTGTATAAAAAATCTATAAAAACATGTATCACAGAGTTTCAACGTTTCACTTTTGTGGACCCCGCCATTTGTCTCGTGCATAATAGCCCGTGTCCTCCGTGTACCTTTGGCGAATGGTGGTGCCCATCCACGTTAGCAGCTTCTCATTGTACATCTTCTCGGAAATGCACGCGACGGACATCGCGAACACAGTCATTCTCGAGCGCTCGACAAACTCCGCTGTAACTTGTTCCGGTATCCTTTGGAACAACGTGTCGATGCACGGGTATCCGACGACATACACGTGGTCATACGGCTGGATTTCCTTGCCCAACAAACCACCTTTTGTTTCCAGCCACCACTCGTTCTCCAGGACCTATCGTTAAAAGCGATTAGCATCCCTACAGTCGCGATACATGCAACTTCTTAGCGATACTCTCTTCCTTTCAGTTTAAACCCAGGTCAATCAATTAAATGGATTAATGATTGACAATAGTGTAGAGATGGGATTGGCCGCGTTCAGCAGACACAACTGTTGAGTGAGCGCTCAGTATGATTGGTTAATACTTTTAGATCCAGCCAATCATATTAAGAAATTGTTGAGCGCTCGCTCAACAGTTGTGTCTGCTGAACGCAGCCAATGATCGAAGCATACAGAAATCACTAATTTTGCAATCGACATGCGAGCTCTCTCAAATTCTTACAGCAATATCGCGCAGCGACACACCGCGCGGATAACGGAATGCTGGACGTGTCTCGGGGAACTTCTTCGGGCAATCTTTACTGGTCGAGGCCGTCGCCCCGTCGGCTCTCAAATTTCCAGCTCTGCTCCTGTATCTCTCGTCGATCTCCTGCCGTTGCTTCAACTCGGACATGTACGGCTCCAGTCTGTAGTTAACCTCCACCTCGCCCGTCCCGTCCTCGACTGCAAGGGAATTCAGATTCAGGCGCACATCGTTATACTCACCGCCAGCATTTCTCCCCTCGCCTTACTTGTCAGTGCCAGGTTGTTGACGTTGCGCGAGACGCCCGTGACAGTCCCGACTAGGTTGATCTTACGCACTTTAATAAGAGGCATGTTGAACGGGTGAAAGTTCACGTAGCGGCCATCCTTGTAGGGCACTAGTCGGTACAGCTCCATGAGCAGCATCGGCACGTTCGTCACTTGCGAATCTGTAATTAAAACGCGAACGAGTGACCGTTTCGATTTTTCACCAACGTTTACTTGGTCGTTTAACTTTGAGCTTAATTGAATCGTCGTTCGTCCCTTTCTAAGGGGGCAGTTAATTGAATTAAACTAAGATCAGAGTTAAACGACGTTGGTGAAAAATGGGTGCAGAACAACGAACGCCAAGGAAGAATTGTGAACCGGTAACCTTCTTGTTGATCTTACAATTAGTTGAATCATCTTTTGTCTCTTTCGAGGGGGCAGTTAATCGGATTAAACTAATTGTAAGGTCGACGTTAAACGACGTTGGTGAAAAACTTGAGCCAGCAACGAATTTGTCCTCACTAGTCCTGATGTTGAAACCAGGCCATTCTTTCTTCGACGCGAGAGATTTCCGATAGTTGTCGTACTCCTCTCTGCTGAAGGCGGCAATGCCGTTCGCCCGTTTCCCGCCGGACATCGAAATTAACTTCCCTCGTGCGCGACCAAATTTGGATTTGATCTTCCTCCAATCTAATCGCAAGGTGGACCTCACATTTCTGCCGTTTTCCCGGTCACCTCGTGAAAGAACGACACTAGCGACAGTGATGGGAGACTGGCCGGGTTT